GGGTCAGAGCCCGTGAGAGCCGCGGCCCCCCCTGCCCGGCGCACCCCGGGCGCGGGGTGACGGCCCTGAGCCGAGCGCAGCCGTGTCCCGGTGCCGGCCTGCGGCCCCCGGCAGCGCCTGCCGGCCGGAGCGCCCTGACAGCTCGCTCCCAGCTCCCCGCGTTTCTGCCCATAAAGAGCCCGGAGGGTGGGAGCGCCTCCCGCACAGCTGCTCCAGCCTAGCATCACCAGCATCTCACACCGCCTTGCTAAACCACGGGAAAATAAACCACCTCTGCCTCTTCTTGGACCTTGTATGACCAAATGACTTTCTTTCACCTCTACCACCACAGGACCCTTCAACCAGCAAAAGTGTTTTTTTCGTCAAGTACTCTGTCACAAAGATCTTCCTTGAGGGGAGGAGTAGACATCAACGTGCCCTCACTGTTGTCATAAAAACACCACCATCACATTTGATTTCTCTGTCACTTTTCCGTCTGTAAGCATCCATACTCAGTCCTTGCCAGCTGTCAGGTAGAAACCCCTGATTTTTTCAGAGTAATCATATAACAAGCAATTGTTTTAGAGTATCAGGTGTGACAGGGACAGACGTTTACAAGTGCACCCAGGTCTGTTTAGCCAGCTGCCTGTACAAACAAGTGTAACAAGTCACAGGTAATTGTTTACATACAGTGTTTATTGCAAATTACTGTCACTTCGCCAGGATGTTTGAATGTTGTATAACAAAGCTCCAGTGGATTGTTTTCCAGCAAGGGAACACACTGGTGATGTGTTTTCCTAAGTGCTGAGCTTGTCCCATCAACTAAGGAAACTGAAGTTTCGTATTTAAAAGATTACTTATTCTACAGATTTACTTGCATAGGCAGCAGTGCTGGTTTCCATAGGGTAAACAAGAGATCACTTATAAGTGCTCAGGCATCCATAAAACTTATAACAACAAAATAATACTCTTTTTTATTAAATAAAATAATTTTTTTTAAAGCCTGATTCCTTGCAATCTTTTTAATTCAAGGAGTCTAAAATCTGTGAGACAAAACATCACTGTACCCATTTACCAGACAGGGGCAAGACAGGACAGAGATGAGATGAGGGAAAGACACATCACTGCGGGGACTTAGTGTTGTTGGAGTCCAACAGTGGAAGTCATAAGTAATGAAATGCAAAGATATGAGAGTGGTTGGGTTGTGCTTGGATTTTACTTGTTCTTTGCTTTGTTCCTTCACCTGACTTGTCAATTTTTTCCTTCCTTCCCCTTCCTACCCCATCTGCTTAAACAGATCACTGTATTGTACTGAACAAGGAGAAAAAAGGAAACAACTTATCTTCAGGTTTATGTTCCTCTGTAGATAAAATTCACAAAGCAAGATTTCAGGCAGAGCTGGCTTTATTTTTAATGCTATGCTAGAAGCTCCAATTAAAAATGCTTAAAATGCACTTCAGAATGAGCACAGCACTTCCAGGGAGGAGGGGGAGACGAAGATGCATTTCTGGGAGACTAAGCCTGCACTGGTGTTCCAAGAACCCCATGAATCCTGTGGAATGCTCCAACATCTCAAGCCTATTACTTTTTTACTATTTTGGAAGACATTTAAGTGCAAACTAGAGGGAATAATAACAATTAAAAAGTTATACTGGTGTACCTTAAAACCCCCATGCACCAAGAGCGCAGCCCCCGGGGAGCACAGCAGCTATGCAGCAGCATGTTCATATGGCAACAAGCAACGTGCACCAGATTCATACAAATCTACTCCCTCCACAAAAGTATTGCTTCAGACTAACTTAATCAGGTCTAAATTAAAGTGTTATCTATCTACAGAACACCTTTGGTTCCATAAAACCTTGAAACATGCACAGAATTAAACTCCATCTCTGGGGGAGAGACCAACCATCTACCTAGCAATTTACAGCAACTTAACAAAAGCAGGAAGGGAGGATATATTACAGGCAAATACAGGACTCGGTGCAGGAGGAGTGTAATTCTCAGTCCTTTTAGTTTCTCTCTGTTATCATTTCCCATTTGTGACAGAAGTAATAAAACTTCCTTCCTCCAACCTTTATTTAATTAAAGTGTAAGGTCTTTGGGGCAGTGAGCTTACTGTGTGTATATATACAGCACCTAGCATGAAGAGGTCATGAATTCATCTCAGCCCTTTAAATGCTCCTCTAAATACAAAGCATTAACAATAATAAGAATAGGATATAATTTTCATTTAGAATAGATGAGTCTTCTGTTTTCAATTATCACAAAGAATAAATTACGTGCATCTCAGGGAATAATTAAATTAAGGGTTAAGGGAAAGTATTTCATACCAGAGACTTATAACTCTGGTTTTTTTTGCACTTAAAGACACTGTTGCCCACTCTTACAGCATTTACTCAAAATTCTTATTTGCCATAATATGTAGTATTATTTTGCCATAATATTACAAAATAATGTCCCAAATCCCACAGGCCAGCTCATCAGTTAGTGTAGGGGTATAGTTTAATCTGAGGCAGCGCATGTGATTACTGTGATAACATACTCAAATTAACCTTTTGCATGTGCAATAAACTGCAATTAGCAATCTGCAGACAAATGACAAGTTCCTTCGTTTCCTGTAATATGCAGCAATACACAAGCCAGATTTCCTATTGAATCCCATATTAACCTACATTCGGTGGCAGTGAAATCTCAGAGCACCGTGTCAGAATTTATCATCTTCCAATGATGTCAGCTCCACCTCCTGACAGTTCTAGATGAGATGTTTATAAACAACTCATCCATAATCTGACCAATTTCAGCTGAAAATGTTTATCATTCTTTCACCAGTTGTTCCAGCCACTTTGAAGGCTTTTACTAAGGGATGGGCCGAGCTCTCACAACAGTATGGTTGTGTTAATAAACGACAAGAAATGAAATGGAGATTGAATAGTGAGTGGCTTTGTGATGCCTCTCTGAGCTGGTAGGAGGCTCAGGGGTAGGGAAGCTGCAGAAGTGCCTCTTTCCCTTGTGATAAGGAATGTCACATCAAAAACTACAAAATGGAAAGATGATGTTTCCACAAGCCCTTTCATTCCCATAATTCCACACCTCTCCCTGCTACAGAATTCATTTGCAAAATATTTTTTTAAAAACAAAGACCTTCTGGGACAAGTCATGAAAAGCAATTTTGCTGCAAACCAGAAAAAGTCTTGCACCTTTAACAGTCACCATCAGTCTCGGATAATGTCGATACAGTACCGTAAACCTGAACCAGTTCCTAGCAGCTTTACTGAAGTGCTTGTTTCCAATATAATAAACAAAAAAGATTTTTGTAATGGGCATCACATAACTGCACTTCCTTCATATGCCTTTGCTGGTAGCGTGACATGAGCGATGAGCGTGTGCATGCATGGAGGGGATGAAGTGCCTTATAAGAATGCAGTTTTTTTTAACATGAGTGATGGAAGGGAATTCAAAAAGCATAAAGATGCCTTTGTAATAAATCAGAACTAACCAGCCAGATCACCTGCCCACTTTAAGACTCTCCACCAGGGTTGTGAGTGGCCTCCTTCAGTTATTGTTCCGCCCTGCCTCTCGCTCTGAACCAGGGTTATCGCACGGTGCATCTGAATGGAGTGGTGTTTAACAACCGTGCCAAGGAGAGCTCGAAATGAAAATCCCTTCTGCCTCTCCTTTGCTCTCACACGGCGCGTTTGGAGCCCATCCTTCCCGTGTGCTCCCGCGAGCAGCTCTCCCTCTCCCAGCGGAGGCTCCCGCTCCGCGGCTGCGGGATTGGAGCTCTTTGTTACCATGGCCCGTGGGCCAGCTCTGCGGCTGCGATGCTGCGCCGGCGTCTGCGGGCTGCGAGGCACCCACCGCACTCGTGGGCACTGCCTGTTCAACTGGGCTGGGCTAAAAAGGAAAAAGAAAAACAAAAAATAAAGATTTATATCTGTATGTTTAGACTGAGCTAGATAACTCATTGATCTGTGAGGTACCTCATAACCTTGAGTCTTTTTTAATCAGTTTTAATCTCTGAAATAGTAAATTATAATTAAAATTTAATATAACTTTAATCTCTCAAATAGTTAATTATAGTTATGGTCATAAAACATGTACAACCTTTGCTTCCTCTCTCCTCCATCCCTCACCTCCTACTCAGAGCTGCTACATGAAGAAAGAGAAAATAATTGTCCCTTTAATGGCAATTGTTTATTAACTCCTTTTCACAGACACTATGTTTATATACAATGCCTAGGCAAAAACCAGGCACAAACGCAATAGTCATAATAAACGAGTGAATAATACATCCCTGACCATAATTCCAGTGCTCTCCAACAAAAGAATATCTAATTCCTGTCACAGAATTGCCTTGTAGGTTGAAGTTCGGCATATAAATACACATGGGAAAAAGATTAGATTTTAATTGATAAGTATTAATCATCATTCACTGCTGTCTCTGCAGGAAGCCCAGTGTTAAAACATCTAGTTAATATACAGTATAATGGATAACCTTGAGGCAGAAGCTCTTGCATCTGTCTCTATCCAAGAAAAAATGTCAACATCAGCCTTTGTTGTAGCAAAATACCCTGACATCTGAATGGAGTTGCTGCTGCTGGAAAATTGACTGCCCCCAGTGCAATCCTTCCTAACATGGGTCCAGTGCTTAACCTAGAGATGAGGCCAAATTAAAAATCTTTATCTGTGCACACCTGTCCTTAGGAATATTTGAAATCTGGTCTGGGTCAGAATGCTGTGTTTGTGGTGCATCTCCTCTTCTCTGAACAAACACATTTCTC